ATGATGTAACAGAGGTAGATGATGTTACACAGAGGTAGATGATGTAACAGAGGTAGATGATGTAACACAGAGGTAGATGATGTAACACAGGGGAGGTAGATGATGTAACACAGAGGTAGATGATGTAACACAGGGGTAGATGATGTAACACAGAGGTAGATGATGTAACACAGAGGTAGATGATGTTACACAGAGGTAGATGATGTTACACAGGGGGTAGATGATGTTACACAGAGGGTAGATGATGTAACACAGAGGTAGATGATGTAACACAGAGGTAGATGATGTAACACAGAGGTAGATGGTCTTTGCCGTAACACAGAATTAGGTGATGTAACACAGAGGTAGATAATGTAACACAGAGGTGGATGGTCCTTGGCGTACCACATAGGCAAATGGTCCGTGGTGTAATGTAATGGTGGTATTTGGCCTTTGGTAGAGGTAGATGGCGTCCCACAGAGGTACAATGTAGATGGTCTTGGGTGTAACAAAGAGGTAGATGTTCCATAGTGCCCATAGTGTAACACAGAGAGTCAGATGGTACTAAGCGATCACAGAAGTGGGGGTTCATGGAAGGGGAAAAGTGATAACTTCCCTCCCTGTGTTTATACCACGGACCACCTATATTTGTTACACCATGGATCATCTGTGTCACACACATGCATCGCACGCACGCGCGCGCTCACGCACACACACAAACACACACAACGACGTAGGATCTAGCCTCCTGTTTTGAAACATCTTTTTTTTTTGACTGCCCCAATAGGTAGGGAATGTTTGTTAGGTAGGGAATGTTTGGCGGTAGGGGCTGGTGTCTTTTCTCAATGACACACCATTACCAAGTCTGTGGCGGCATTTGAGGTCTGAACCAGCTCGGACCCGTGAAGGTCCGGTTAGAACTGATCCTCAGTAACCCATGCTTGTCGTAAGAGGCGACTAACGTGATCGGGTGGCAAGGCTCGCTGTCATCGTATCCCAATGGCATGGATCGATGCTCTTGCTGTTGATCACTGGATTGTCTTGTCGAGACTCTATTATTTACAGACCGCCGTCATATAGCTGGAATATTGCAGAGTGCGGCGTAAACCTAAACTCACTCACTCACTCAGTGAACCAGGTCGTGTGTCTATACATGTCATCGAGATACACCAAACCTATATACCCAACCTATCAAATATAACCAGACAATATTCCGCAATATACAAATCTGAACACTATCAACATACATCAGTCAATATTCCACAATATACAATTCTCTACACTATCAACATACATCAGTCAATATTCCACGATATACAATTCTCTACACTATCAACATACATCAGTCAATATTCCACAATATACAATTCTCTACACTATCAACATACATCAGTCAATATTCCACAATATACAATTCTCTACACTATCAACATACATCAGTCAATATTCCACAATATACAATTCTCTACACTATCAACATACAGCAGTCAATATTCCACAATATACAATTCTCTACACTATCAACATACATCAGTCAATATTCCACAATATACAATTCTGAACACTATCAACACTATCAACATACATCAGTCAATATTCCACAATATACAATACAGCAGTCTCTACACTATCAACATACAGCAGTCAATATTCCACAATATACAATTCTCTACACTATCAACATACATCAGTCAATATTCCACAATATACAAATCTCTACACTATCAACATACATCAGTCAATATTCCACAATATACAATATAGGCGTCTACACTTGATATCAACATCCCTCCTTATCTTCAAAGATTTCATGACGAGCCACAGAACGAGGGGGTATAACTTTCAAAAGGATTCTTGGAAGCGTGTTGAGAACAGTGTATATTGTTGTATATTTACCTTCCTCCTGAAATATCATGCCAGAGGTAAATGATAATTTAGATGCCATAATTGGAATGACTTGGATTTGGAAAAAGTGTTCAAAATGTCAGATCTGATAGGCTCTATGTACAATTGATAAATAAACAATACATCTCCATGTTTTTGCATGTGTTGTGATCATAACATTAAATGTTCTCCCTTGTTCTGGAGCAAACTGTAGATGTATATCTTTACACTAAAATAGTTTCAGCTGAGTCAACCCCTTGATGACACAAACTCTGCACACTGCGTGTTTTAACCTCGGTGTACGGAGATTTCACGAGTGTCGTGCTCCGCCCAAATCTCGTTACTTTCAATAAACATGCGTGAAACAAAACATAGGAAGTGGCAATTCGATTTAACACCGGAAAGTCATGAAGATGTCCCCAAACGTGCGGACAGATCATCAACAACCGGAAGTCGCCAGCAGTCCACCTATTGCTAATCATGAATTACATAGGGCTGACACTGGCAGAAGGGTGCGAGATAGTGCTGAGCAATGATGTTGGGAAGACCTACCAATGACAGACAATAACCCCCTGTCCGTCACTTTAATTCATAAGCCACAGTCCGAGTATTTTTTTTACATATCACCCACCCAAGTATTTTGTCAGATATTCGCAAACCCAGGTCTTTTTCTCAGAGATCCACCCGTTCGGGTATTTTCTCAAATCCCCTTCCAATTCCAACCATTTTCCTCAGATATCCACCCGTTCAGATATTCTCTCAAATGCCTACTGGCTAGAGAACAGTTATCGCCATGTTTTAGCGGTATTTACAAAATTTCTCTGCCGTTCGTTAAATTAATGAAACAGAATTGCGGAATTCGCCATTCACCGATGTGTCCAGCCCGTTCACTGCCGCCGATCGTTTTTATAACGCGACGGAAGGGAATCATGGCAGTATAAACAGATCGTTTTCACAACTAACTGTAACAGTTATCGCCTACTGATATCAATTATATCAACACTCGTTGATAAAGGTAAAACTATCCTCAACAAGCCTCGGATATTTGTAACTTTATCAACTCGTGGTGATATAACTGATATCAGTAGACACTTGGGTGAGATTCTCTATTTCTCATGCCATACCTGAAATAATATATATTCATATCATACAGTAACCTCGAATAATTTATTGTGTGACTATCTGAGTGTTTCCTTTACAGTAGATTGATAGAGAGTGAAACAATTAATGACTTGTGAACTTGAACTTGCTATTACATATTTCAGTTTATATTTTTCATATGGTTCATAACTTTATCTCTAATTTTTCTCTTATGTTACTTGCCGTTAAGAATGTTCTATTGCTGTCCTTTATTCTTGTCAAATACCGTGGGGAAAAAATACCGAAATTGTAATTGACCGGAACTGCGCACGCGTGTTACTGATGTATTGGCGATAACTGTTACGGGGCGATTACTGTTCGCTAGCCAGTATCGGTCCAGCCATTTTTACAACCATGCAAGTATTTTCACACATCTCAACCCGTTCTTGTATATTTTTCTCAGACAGCCACCGTCCATGCTGGTATTTCCTTCAATTAGCTTTTCCATTTTATAGTCACCCGTTGAAGTATTTCCTTGACTAATCCTGCCCATGTTTTGTCACAACGAAAGAAATACTGTGTCTTTGTATCAAAAGAAAATAAGTATATATTTTAATTCTTATTGTATAACTTCATCACTTGGAACATATGAGGCAAATAACCGGAAGTTATGTTATTTTGTCAAATGAGGTATGCTCCCGAGATGCACTTAGACAGACACATCTGGCGTGTAAGGTTTCCCCACACTGAACCGGCTGCCATACATTCCGCAAACATTATGTGCCATGATATTTATCCCATGCATCATTTGCAATGTATATACCAACCAAACCCCCTGAAATCTGCATCACAATGCAAATCCCGCTTGCAGCCTCGAGCCGCGTCGCCATGGTAATAAGAACTGGGAGGGGCGTGGTCGCTGCCGCCATAACTGTATCATTTACAACAAAGCTCACTAATGATGCTTTTAATCGAGTTTTTGTGTTGGAATTATTGCTAGCTAGACGTGGGAGTTATTAAATTTACAAACTATAATGGAACAGCTGTGTGACGGGATTTACTTGGTTCTCTGTGTCAACAAACAGTGGACCGACACAGTGGAGGCAGCGTGGTGGGCGGTGGCTGTCAATACCCGGAACTGGAATACAAAACAACGTCTGAACCAGCGCTACGTGACTGCCAATGTGTGTCTGAACCGCAATACGTCGCATTGGTCGAGTGAGAGATATGGGAACGAGTATAACACTATGGAAACGTGGATAACTCTATAGGCACGTGTACATAAGTGACTGGACACGTGTGTGTAGCTGTATCCACACATGTATAACTGTATGGACACGTGCATAACTAACGACACGTGTGTAACATTATGGACACGTGTATAATTGTATGGACACGTATTTAAGACTAACTAAAGGCAAGTGTATAAGACCATAGACAAGTGTATAACTGTGTGGAAACGTGTAACTATGGGCACATGTTTAAGACTTAAGACACGTGTATAAGTGTATGGACACATATACAACTAAAGACACGTGTATACGACTAAAGACATGTTTATCAGCACTATCGACACGTGCATAAGACTAAAGACACGTGTACGGAAGCCTGGTGCAGTATATATCTCAACAGCTATGTGGACTCGTGTGTTACTGACTGGAAACGTAATGAACTGTTTTACATATTACTGCTTGCGCACGTACATGCTTGACAATGTGGGTACGTGTCTAACAATGACATTTCGAGTCACTGGTCTTTTCGGTATAGATTGGGTAATGTTATTTGTTCAAAATCCAAAAGGAATTTTATATTTCTAATGAAAGAAGACCTCTTCCATCTCGCGGTCTTTGCTTGGACGAAGAATTGCCCACTTAGTTCGGTTAATGCAGATGTAGACGTATTTATCTCAATTCCACGCCAGAATCAATACACATGGAATAAATCTGAAGTTGAATTTCGAAAATCTGCATTCAAGTGAGAATATGTTCGTCCATGTCTATTTCACTGTCGCTGTTGGCAGTGATGGTAGTCGTGTGTTGTGTTGGTGTTGGTGTTGATCAGTGATGGCGGTGATGTTGGTCTACTGTTGGTGGTGATGGTTGGCTTTGGTGGGGATGGTGGAGGTGAGTGTCGATGGTGATGATGGTGGTCGGCGTTGGTGGGGATGGAGGAAGCGGGTGTCGATGGTGATGGTGGTCGGGGTTGTGGGGATGGAGGAAGTGGATGTCGATGGTGATGGTGATCGGGGTTGTGGGGATGGAGGTAGGTGTCGATAGTGATGGTGGTCGGTGTTGGTTCGGATGGAGGTAGGTGTCGATGATGATGGTGCTCGGCGTTGGTGGGGATGGAGGAAGTGGATGTCGATGGTGATGGTGGTCGGGGTTGGTGGGGATGGAGGAAGTAGATGTCGATGGTGATGGTGGTCGGCGTTGGTTTTGGATAGAGGAAGTTGGTGGGGATCGATGGTGACGGTGGTCGGCGTTGGTGGGGATGGAGGTATAGGTGTTGATGGTGATGGTGGTCGGGTGTTGGTGGGGATGGAAGTGGTGTCGATGGTGGTCGGCGTTTGTGGGAATGGAGGAAGTGGGTGTCGATGGTGATGGAGGTCGGCGTTTGTGGGGTTGGAGGTATAGGTGTTGATGGTGATGGTGGTCGGTGTTGGTGGGGATGGAGGAAGTGGGTGTCGATGGTGGTCGGTGTTGGTGGGGATGGAGGAAGTAGGGTGTCGATGGTGATGGTGGTCGGCGAATGGTGGGGATGGAGGAAGGTGTTGATGGTGATGGTGGTCGTTGGTGGTGGATTGAGGTGGATGTCGATGTTGGTGGTGATTGAGGAAGGATGGAGTTTCGATGGTGATGTTGATCGGCGTTGGGGGAGTGCAGGAGATGGAGGAAGTGGATGTTGGTGGGGATGGTGCTGAAGGGGATGGAGAAGTGGTGATGTTGATCGGCGTTGGGTGGGATGGAGGAAGTGGGTGTCGATGGTGATGGTGGTCGGCGTTGTGGGGATGGAGTTGTAGGTGTTAGTGGTGGTGATGGTGGTCGGTGTTGTCGATGGTGGTCGGCGTGGATGAAGTGGGTGTGGATGTTAGTGGTCGGATTGTAGGGGAAGTGGGTGATGTCGGTGGTGATAGTGATGGAGATCGTGGTTGATGGTGATGGATGAAGGGATGTCGATGGTGATGGTGGTGATGTGGTCAGCGTTGATGTGAGGTCGGCAGAAGTAGTGAAATGTCGATGGTGAGGTGGCCAGCGTTGGTGGTGATGGTGGTCCGATGCATGTGCTGATGGAAGCGGTTGGGTGATGGAAGGTAGGTGGTGATGGTGATGGTGGTCGGCGTTGTGGGGATGGAGGGAGGTGTCGATGGTGATGGTGGTCAGCGTTGGCCTGGGTGGGATGGAGGCGTGGATGGTGATTGGTGGTCGGTGAGTGGGGATGGATGAAGTGATGGTGGGATGGCGTTGTCGGTGGTGGGGTCGGGATGGAGGATGCGGTGTCGAGGTGTCGATGGCGTATGGTGATGGTGGTCGGTTTTGGTGAGGGGATGGAGGAAGTGGATGTCGATGGTGATGGTGGTCGGCGTTGGTGGGGATGGAGGAAGTGGTCGATGATGATGGTGGTCGGCGTTGGTGGTGATGGGATGGAGGTAAGGTGGTGATAGTGGATGAGTGGTAGGTGTTGGCGTTATGGAGGGGATGGAGGAAGTGGGTGTCGATGGTGATGGTGGAGTCCGGGCGTTGGAAGTGGGGATGGAGGTATAGATGTCGAAAGGTAGATGGTGGTCGGTGTTGGTGGGGATGGAGGAAGTGGATGTCGATGTGGTGATGGTGGTCGGCGTTGATGGGGATGGAGGTAACGGGTATGGCATGGATGGTGGAAGTTTGTGGGGATCGAGGTAGGTGTGATGGTGGGATGGTGACGGTATTGGCGTTGGTGGCGATGGTGGGTGGGGATGGAGGAATGGTGGATGTCGATGGTGATGGTGGTCGGTGTGCTGGCGGGGGATGGAGGAAGTGGATGTCGATGGTGATGGTGGTCGGCGTTGGTGGGGGATGGAGGATGGATGGAGGTAGGTGTCGGATGGTGATGGTGATGTCGGCGTTGGTGGGGATGGAGGAAGTGGGTGTCGATGGTGATGGTGGTCGGCGTTGGTGGGGATGGAGGAAGTGGATGTCGATGGTGATGGTGGGGCATCGGTGTTGATGGGGTTGGAGGTGTTGGTGGGGATGGAGGAAGTGTCGATGGTGGTCGGCGTTGGTGGGGATGGAGAAAGTATAGTGTCGACGGGGTAAAGAAAGTGGCATTTAACCAGATAGTCGGCATTGTGGGGATGGAGGTAAGCGGGTGTCGATTGATGGTGATGGAAGTGGTCGGCGTTGGTGGGGATGGAGGAAGTGGATGTCGATGGTGATGGTGGTCGGCCTTGGTGGGAATGGATGGAAATGGGTCTCGATGGTGATGGTGGTCGGCGTTGGTGGGGACGGAGGAAGTGGGCCGTGTAGTCATCAACGAGGTCATGGTCGATGGTGATGGTGGTCGGCGTTGGTGGGGATGGAAGTATGATGGTCGATGGTAGTTGATGGATGGTTGATGGTGGTCGGCGTTGGTGGGTGATGGAGGAAGTGGATGTCGATGGTGATGGTGGTCGGCGTTGTGGGGATGGAGGAAGTGGGTGTCGATGGTGATGGTGGTCGGCGTTGGTGGGGGATGGAGGTAGGTGGTCGATGGTGATGGTGGTCGGCGTTGTTGGGGGATGGAGGTGGGTGTCGATGGTGATGGTGGTCGGCGTTGGTGGGGATGGAGGTGGGTCGTCGATGGTGATGGTGGTCGGCGGTGTTGGTGGGGATGGATGGAGGAAGTGGGTGTCGATGGATGGTGGTGGTCGGCGTTGGTGGAGGATGGAGGGACGTCTGTTGTCGATGGTGATGGTGGTCAGCGTTGGTGGGGATGGAGGTATAGGTGTTGATGGTGATGGTGGTCGGCGTTGGTGGGGATGGAGGAAGTGGTGTCATGGTGATGGTGGTTCGGCGTTGGTGGTGGAGGAAGTGGATGTTGGATGGTGATGGTGGTCAGGTGTTGGTGGGGATGGAGAGTGGTGTCGAAAGTGATGGTGGTCGGCGTTGGTGGGGATGGAGGAAGTGGATGTCGATGGTGATGGTGGTCGGCGTTGGTGGGGATGGAGGAAGTGGATGTCGATGGTGATGGTGGTCGGCGTTGGTGGGGATGGAGGAAGTGGATGTCGATGGTGATGGTGGTCGGCGTTGGTGGGGATGGAGGAAGTGGATGTCGATGGTGATGGTGGTCGGCGTTGATGGGGATGGAGGAAGTGGTTGTCGATGGTGATGGTGGTCGGCGTTGGTGGTGGGTTAGATGGAGGAAGTGGATGTCGATGGTGATGGTGGTCGGCGTTGGTGATGGATGGAGGATGGATATGGATGGTGATGGTGGTGCCGTTGATGGTGGTCGGTGTAAGTGGGTCGATGGAGAGTGGATGTCGGATGGTGATGGTGGTCGGCGTTGGTGAATGGAAGGAGGAAATGGATGAGGAAGTCCATGTCGATGGTGATAGTTGGTCGGCGTTGGTGGGGGACGGAGAGGAAGTGGATGTTGATGGTGATGGTGGTCGGCGTTGGGATGGAGAAGTGGATGGATGGAAGGTGGTCGGCGTTGTTGCGATGGTGATGGTGGTTGGCGTTAGTGGGGATGGAGGAAGTGGGGAAGTGGATATCGATGATGGTGGTGGTGGTGTTGGTGGAAGGATGGAAAGTGGTTGTCGATGGTGATGGTGGTCGGCGTTGGTCGGGATGGAGGAAGTGGATGGTCGATGGTGGTCGGTGGTGGTCGGCGTTGGTGGGATGGATGTGAATGATGATGGTGGTCGGCGTTGATGGAAGGGATGGAGGAAGTGGATGTCGATGGTGATGGTGGTGGGGCGTTGGTGGAGGAAGTGTCAATTATGGTGATGGTGGTCGGCGTTGGTGGGGATGGAGGAAGTGGATGTCGATGGTGATGGTGGTCGGCGTTGGTGGGGATGGAGGAAGTGGATGTCGATGGTGATGGTGGTCGGCGTTGGTGGGATGGAGGAAGTGCGGTGTCGATGGTGATGGTGGTCGGCGTTGGTGGTGGTGGATGTCGATGGTGATGGTAGTCGGCGTTGGTCGGGATGCAGGAAGTGGATGTCGATGGTGATGGTGGTCGGCGTTGGTGGGGATGGGGATGGAGGAAGTAGGGTCGATGCGATGGTGATGGAGGTGGGCGTTGATGGGGATGGAGGAAGTGGTTGATGGTAGTGGTGGTCGGTGTTGGTGTGGATGGAGGAAGTGGGTCTCGATGGTGATGGTGGTCGGCGTTAGTGGGATGGAGGTAGGTGTCGATGGTGGTCGGCGTTGGGGGGGGTGTGTGTGGAGGAAGTGGGTGTTGATGGTGATTGTGGTCGGCGTTTGTGGGAATGGAGGAAGTGGGTGTCGATGGTGATAGTGGTTATTCACAGGTGAGTAAGCGGGACTGTCTGTGTCGTTAGTAGGTATGCTAATCAGTGTTCATGGTAGAGTGGGCGAGATGTTTCTGGTAGTTACATGGGACATTTTACGGTCAGTGAGCGGTCCGGACAATGATGCCAGGAACGCGTGGACATATTGCGGTCAGTGAACGCCGGACAGCAACTGTGATGGTATATCGTTATCGGGAGACTGAGCGCCTGCTCAGACTGATCATCAGCTTCCAGCAATAGGTGATGGCAGTTGTGTATGTCAGTAAACCCACAGCAGATAGCAGGAGAATGTAATTGTATACTTGTAGATCAGTGTGAATATGGGTGGCCCATTCGTCATTCGCCACACCTCGCTGTACAGAGTTCCGTCCCTTTGACGTGTCAGAATCCGATGATCTCCTTCGTTGATAACAGGAGATTGTATTTGGCCGAATTGTATATTTTAGGATATGGTGGCACAGTCGCCTTGTTTGCCACAATTAGATGTGTAAAGCTGTGTCCCGGAATCCAGTGACCGTGTTCCAAAATCCAAGTGAGTGAGTAAGTTTAGTTTTACGCCGTTTTGAGCAATATTCAAGCAATATCACGGCGGGGGACACCAGAAATGGGCTTCACATATTGTGCCCATGTTGGGAATTGAACCCGAGACTTCGGCATGACGAGCGAACGCCTAAACCACTAGGCTAACCCACCGCCCCCCCAGAATCCAAGTAGATTAGTAAGAATGTCAGCAGTTTAACGTGCTATAGTGTGCTCTCACGAACGACGAGTCTAGCATCCAGCCTCTGCAATGAACATACATTAAAGATGAAACATTCATAGTGAGTGAATTTTAAGCCGCTGTTAGCAATATTCCAGCAATATCACGGTGGGGGACACCAGAAATCCCCCTCTCCCCCGGAAGAATTTCCCTAAGGAGCACCCCCCCCTCCCCCCAACCTTCGCCAAAATCATGGATTCCCCACATGAGTACAATGTGTGAAACCCATGTTTAGTAATCCTGCCTTGATATTTGCTAAAAACGGCATAAAACTAAACTCACTCACTCTGACCTGCTCCAGACTCGATTAAGTACTGATCGTACAGCCATACAGCTGGAATATTGCTGAGTGCGCCTTTAAACAACAAACCAGCCAACCTTGGGAATCCATGCAGTCACAGCTGATTTCATCTACATTTCATTGACTGTTTACTGCGAATCCTAACGAGCAGCGATTTTACACGTGTAAGACATATTGAGAGGCGCACATCTGAGATGGTTGTACAGATGTTACTATTTTTAATTCTGACAGTAGCGGACAGTGTTTGGTACAATTGTAGGACACACGAGATGGCGCCCCACAGATGCTAACATTTTACTCCTCTTCTCGAACAGCTCCTCATACCTATCTGTACACTCAATAGATTATTTCAGATAATCTGTGTTCCTTATAGATAACTAGTAGTTCCTGGTATATTCTATTTCGCTAATAATATACCTATTATTCTCTTCACTGTGCTACAGATTAACTAATACAACTTGTATTAATAATATATTATCAATTACTTCAGGGTAATATCAGTGGGTTGAATGTATGATATATACTCATGCCAATAATGGTTGTCATCCCCTCCCCACCCCAACCCCTCTACACCCCCACTCCACTCCACACCCCCTCTCCAATTAAAACAATTGAAGGGGGTGACAACCATTATTGGCATGAGTATATACTACCCACCAAAAGTTTAGACTCACTTAAAGCACTCACTATATGTTATGTATATATATGGTTACATCGAAGACTGATTGCTCCACTACTTGGGGGAAGCAACTGCAAACTTCATGCACGAGGGTCATACATCAAATTGCTGAAAAGCATGTGCAAATATCGTGCATGTGAACTGCTGCGTTTTGGTGTAAAGTATTGTTAAGAATTCGCCAGTTTTAAGAGATTTTTATCATTTATTGAACTCATAACACAAATCTTTTCAACGTTACAAATTTGTTTTACAATACATCAGTTCATGTGTAAACAGTACCTTTAAACAGTGTGGAATATTTTGCAAAAGTTAGATTAAAAAAGTTGCCTGAAGTAAGTGGCTATATTTACACTAGTGAGTCTAAACTTTTTGTGGGAAGTATAGATTAACTCATATTCCTTGCATAGTCAACAGTCAACTAACATTCCTCGTAGTCGCAATAGTTTAAACCCAATTCCTTGTGTTTCCAATACATTACCTAATATTACTGGAATTTTCAGAAGAGGAAAACGTATCTTATTCTTATATTCTCAATTGAGTGACTAATATTCCTTGCATTCGAATGAGGTTAACTGTCTTTCAATATCTACAGATGAGCACCTATTCCTTGCGTTCTCAACAGACAAAAGATATTCCAGGTATATACGTTATAGATAAACTCAAAGTCATTTTATCATCGATTGGGTAAATCATATTCGTTTATTGTCAATGTATTGACTGATATTCCTTGATCTTTCAATACATCAACATTCCTTGTATTTGCAGTAGTTCAACTAATGTCCCTCGTGTTTCTCATGATATTCCTTCTTTGAATTTTCAATATATTTCCATTCCTTATATCATGTATGTGCATTCTCAATATACTGCCTGATATTTTCAACATATATATTCATATCAGGTGTAACCTTAAGAAAGGGTAACTGATATTTTCTATATTCTCTTTGTTTACAACATTCTTTATATAGCAGCTGATATTGCCTTAATCCAAGGTGGGAGAGTTAAACAAAACACATACATTCCTGTTAATTCAGCATGTCAAAATAAGCTTTACAGGTTGAACGTGAATCTTCAGACAATCTTTATAATAATTCAACAAGAGTTGCTTCCCTTGAATTGGGCTACTTGACAGAAGACTCGAGAAGAAAAAAATGAGCAAGTCACAGCCAGGGAAACGAGGTGATGAAGGAAACACACATTTAACATGTGTTTCACGTACACGTCGGTCGGGCTGTAATATCGGGTGTGACAAACGTAGTTGGTCGACAAGGGTCCTAACAACGACGCGTGTGACGCCAGAATCTACAACGATGTCTGAGACGCCCGAATATAAGATGATCAGTACAAAAAGCATTTACAACGACGTCTGTGATGCCCGAATGTAAGATGATCAGTACAAAAAGCATTTGCAACGATGTCTGAGACGCCAAAATATAAGATGATCAGTACAAAAAGCATTTACAACGACCTCTGAGACGCCCGAATATAAGATGATCAGTACAAAAAGCATTTACAACGATGTCTGAGACGCTAGAATATAAGATGATCAGTACAAAAAGCATTTACAACGACGTCTGAGACGCCCGAATATAAGATGATCAGTACAAAAAGCATTTACAACGACGTCTGTGACGCCAGAATATAAGATGATCAGTACAAAAAGCATTTACAACGACGTCTGTGACGTCTGAGATGCCAGAATATAAGATGATCAGTACAAAATAAGATGATCATTTAATAACGACGCATTTGTGATGTCTGAGAATATATAAGATGATCAGTACA